GTGTGTGTGTGTGTGTGTGTGTGTGTGTGTGTGTGTGTGTGTGTGGATGTTTGTGTATTGCATATGGTTTGTGTTTCCCTTGAGTTTCATATGCTGGTGTGTTGTAGGCATGTGCTTGTGCGACGCGTGAGAAAACTCGCTCATCAATAGATCAGACGGCACGAACGGCCCTCCCTATCCGAATGGGATCAATACAATGTAATGCGATTGAGAAGATAGCATTACATGTACGCCAAGTATATATCCAAGCTTGGTTTAGGGTTGGAATTCATGGCAAAGGGTTTTGGGTTTAGGATTTAGGGTTTTGTGCGCGAACATGTTGAGTGCGTGGGTGGTGCATAAACACACAACATACACGTCAGGAACATACCAGAGTGAACACCTCCATGAACACAACACCAACACACACGCACGCACACATCAACCAACACACACACACACACACATCAACCAACACACACAAACACGCACATCAACCAACACACACAAGCACACACATCAACCAACACACACAAACACAAACACATCAACCAACACACAGACACACACATCAACCAACAAACACAAACACACACATCACCAAGCACACACAAACGCACACATCAACCAACACACACAAACACACACATCAACCAACACACAAACACACCCATCAACCAACACCCACAAACACACACATCAACCAACACACACAAACACACACATCAACCAGCACACACAAACACACACATCAACCAAAACATACACATCAACCAACACACACAAACACACACATCAACCAACACACAGACACACACATCGACCAACACACCAACACACACATCAACCAAAACACACAAACACGCGCATCAACCAACACACAGACACACACATCAACCAACACACACAAACACACACATCAACCAACACACACAAACACACACATCAACCAACACACACAAGCACACACATCAGACACAGCGTAAATCACGCACCTTGTGGAATGTGTCGACATCCATGGCAGTGATGTCGTATTCGGTGATGGTGGAGATGAACGGACTGTAGTGGAAGGGATAGAACCAGTCCCACGAGCAGATGCCATCGTAGTAGTAGTGCAGCACCTGGGTGTATGTAGGTAGATGCAGTAGGTAGACGCAGTAGTTATGTAAATATCATCGCATAGAAGTAATGCAGCATCTGAGTAGGTAGATGTAGTAGGTATGTTAACGTCATCGCATATAAGTAATACAGCACCGGTATACACAAAGATGCGAGACACGTAGCATATCAGTGGTTTAATTAACATCCGTCAGATCGATCATTTGCAGACCTAATCGACGAGACAAGAACACTCCAGCATACATGCACAACCACGTCATTGCACGCACATATACACATGATCACTTATATATATATATATATATATATATACTACCACGCACACACACGTACACATACACACACACACATACACACATATATATATATATACTACCGTACCGTTAACTTAACACACACACCACA